CAGAGGTGGACATACAGTTTTAGCGACCAGAAGAGCTCATTGTCAACCGACAAAGAGAATAGCAATGAAAATTATGTCCACTCTCAATTTCCCCACTGTAGCACATTTTCAAAGAATGATAAAATAATTTTGCGTAAATATTAATTTATTTTCAAACAATAATTACGAAATGTCTAGACGTCGTTGACAATGCATAACAATGCCACTCGTATGTATATTTTACCACCAGATCTAGTACTACTAAGTATTTCGAATTAGTGCTACTCGCACTAACCACTAGCACTACGCCCATTTCGACACACATACATTTAACTGATTAGCTTGGTAGTAGACTTATTTCACTGGTTACCCGAGTACCAGACACATTCCATTGGGTACCAGACTAATTCTACTGCTTACTTTGGTACAGTACTTGTCTTGCTGGTTACCCGAGTACCAGACTCATTCTTCTTGATAGCTCAGCAGCGGACTCATCCTCCTGCTTACCTGTTTACCTGAATTATCCCACTGGTAACCTTGGTATTAGACTTATCCCGCTGTTTACCTGATTACCAGACTCATCAGAACAATAGACATGCCCCTGGGTAATAGTTGCCATGTTCTTTTACCACATTTATTTACATGGTTAATTGGCAAAATCTTAGAAGCAAGTCGGGATATTTGTGGACAGCACACATAAGCAGACACATTAGTCTGGTGCTTCAAACAAAACACAAGACAAACGTAAAATTATATTTTTTATTCCTCCTTGGGATTTTGGTTATAAATAAAAACAAGTTAGACCAGAATAACATAAAATGTATAAAATGTAATTACATTAGACATTAGTCAGCCTCAATTTTGATTTTTGCATTAAATTATTATTGTTAGGTGAATAACCATAGAAACATTTGCATCAGTTAAATTATAACTCTACTGAGCAACAACTAATAAATTTTGTGTAATAAAAAATACAATTGATTTCCACTACTATGTATATATTTTTTCAATAGTTGAAACATTAAAACAATTCTACTGATTAACACTACGTTCTGAAAGTATCTGTCGTTTTATATATTGACTGTTAAAATTCAAAGATAACTAAAAAATAAATTTGTTTTCACGCCTCTAGAAAAATTCTGTTAAACTGTGTGATTTAAATTGAAAGCTTTGTTAAAGGAGATACATGGCTTTTGAAAAGTGTGCAAACATAGGCGAAATAACACATTCACATATAAAATCAAAGACAATAGAAATCTCTTTCTAATGTCTTTGATAAAATGGAACATTTTTCTATTCAAGTCTACAACCCATCAGTAGAACATTTCCCGATCACTGTGAAGATTCCGCGTTATAAGTGATGAAATCATATGTAAAAACAGTTATAGTGGCGTCAAAGCATTGTGTGGAATTTGACAAATGCGAAACTATTTCAGGCGTAATACCATACATAATAATGTACACATTTGCTGATGGTCTATTTCAATGTATAAGGTATATCATAGCCATATTCCTCTCTGAAAGATGGGAATTTTAAAATTGAACTCGAAAAAAAATAATAATAGATAGCTTTTGTTAGTTTAACTTAGGCAAAATAACAGTCTGACGCCATTCAATTCAGAGAACTTCCTTATTTCAGCATTATCTCGACTCATATCAACTTTATTTACACATGATCATGTGCCCACCATGTCATATCCAAACATGGCCATGTGGACATCAGGTGATACTCCATTCATGGACACATGTATACCATGTGATATCCAAATATGGCCATGTGGACACCAGGTGATATTCCAATCATGGACACATGTACACCATGTGATATCCAAATATGGCCATGTGGACACCAGGTGATACTCCAATCATGGACACATGTACACCATGTGATATCCAAACAGGGCCATGTGGACACCAGGTGATACTCCAATCATGGACACATGTACACCATATGATATCCAAATATGGCCATGTGGACACCAGGTGATACTCCAATCATGGACACATGTACACCATGTGATATCCAAATATGGCCATGTGTACACCAGGTGATACTCCAATCATGGACACATGTACACCATGTGATATCCAAACATG